GAACCGCCGCTCCCGGCGCGCGGGGTGCGGAGCCGGGTCCCGGCAGGGCCTCTCCGTGCAGCCCGGCACGTTCCTCAGCGAGGCGGCCGGTGCCGAGCGCTCTCCGGTCCCGCTCGTTGGGCCCTTCTGGGCTCGAGGGATTCGTTTGTGGGGTTAAAAGCAGGAAAAATTATGGAGCGTCTTCCCAGGAGCATCTTTTCTCTGGGATCTTGTGAGAGTTGCATCTGCTGTAGTTACTGACTGGAGAATATTGCTGCAAGAGTTAAACCCGCTGAGAAAATCCCGTGTCTTCCAGTTGTTTTCTGCTCCAGTCATTTCCTTATTAGCTGGGAATTGCTTGTGGGACAGATGTCTTTTTTTTTTCCCGCTGACAGGGCCTTGAGAAACATCAAAGGGCACCAAGATTTTAGCTTTAAGTGTAAGGCAGTTACTGCATCCCAGTAAGAGGATGCCCTACTGCTGGTAACCAAATTTTCCTTTACAAAACTTTATCCAGGGAGGGACTGGCCGTAGCTGGGAATTCAATCTCCACGCAGGAATTGTCCACAAACTCCAAAGCTTATCCCCAAGTTTATTCTGGGTGGATTTTCCGTGTTGTTTTAGAAAGAAAAGGCTTTTCCCCCCCGCTGTTTTTGGGGGCTGTTCCCAAGCTGTTCCTGCACTGGGATCGCACTTCCCATTTCGGAGTCTGCAGGAGCTCCGCGTCGTGTGCAGTGACGTTGCCCAGGGCATAAGAGCCTGCTCTGCTGCAGCCCTTTGGAACTGGTCACCGTCCTGTGACCAGGAGAGTCCCCGAGGAGCCCTGTGACCCGCGGGGTTTGCGCAGCCGGTGCCTTCCCGGCGAGTGGGCGGCTGGTGGCTGCACGCGGAGCTGCGACGATCCCTGAATTTCCTGACTGGCAGGATTTGGTCTCGCTCCTTTTCTAAGGATTCCCGGGGAATCCACGTGCAACCCTTGGGGGCAGCCCCCTGCACGTGGTGCGATTGCTCTTTCGCTCGTCTTTCTCTCCAGATCTGCAAAAATAAATCCGTGTTATGGAAGGAGCTTTCAGCCACCTCTGCTGGTGTCTGCTCGCTGCAAGGAAGGTGCAGCTGGGCCCTGACCTGTGTTTGCAACACTCTGAGCACTGGTCAGCAGTTAAGGAGCTTTCTGTTTGGACTCCAAAAACTGAGATCAATGATGTTTTTACAACATCTTCCCCAAAGCAGCTTTGTTCCTGGGGGGAAGAGGATGGTATCCTGCACCTCCAAGCTTTCCACGTGCTGCAGCTGCTTCTTCGTTTGCTCCAGCTCTTCTGCTCGGCTGGTGACTCGTGGGCACGTTGCAGCCGCGCTACAGAAGTGACCCGACAGTGAGTGCCCAGCAAGAAAAGAGCTTGGGGCTGCCTCACTGATTTCAAGCTAAAAATATTCTGAAACTTGTCATTTTGCAGTGGGTCGTGTCTATTGCATCAGGTGACTCCTGCTACTGACACACTGGGGTCCGCTAGTATTTGAACATTGCCTCGATTACCTGTTTTTGGTGGGAGACCCTTAGTGCTAAGGAACAGCTTGTCCCTAATTGTTCCAGCCGCTGTTTTGGTCGTGTTGCCCGTGCTGGGAATCGGGGCAAGTGCCAGGGTGGGCAGAGAGCCCCGTCCAGGCAAGGCCAAGCGCCCGCAGTTCGAACCAGGCTTGTAGATAAGGCTGCTTTAATTCCTTATTATCAGATTATCAGATACAGAGGGGTAGAAATCCTCCCTTGGAAGGTTTGGCAATGCAGGGAGGGAAGAAAGAATGAAGAGTAGGAGCCTAAAGAAGGAGGCTTGGAGAGTTGTTGGGATATTTTATAGCGTTTTGGGAAGAAAACTGCTGGATCTTATGCCCTTGCAAACCTGCTTGAGTGAGAGAAGGTGACCTAGGAAGAAGGCAGGAGGTGTCTTGCAGCTCTAGTATGTGGGCAAAATAAACTCACGCTGGGAATGTTTGTGTTGTGGGAGTAATTTGGGCCAATATCCACATTTTAGTGCTGTCTATGTAGCAAAACTTCCTGACCTGAGCTGCTTAATCTTGTAAAACTGGATTAACTTGCATGCGTGGGACTGTGACTTGGAGCACTGGCTCTGTTGTAATTTTGGCTGGAACTTGCACTGTCACGGGAAGACCTAAGTGAAGATCACAGTGGATTTCTCCAGAAGGGCCCCGCAGCCCCAGCCTCGCTCACGGAGAAACTCCGGAGTGTCCCAGCGAGGTGGTTGGGGGTGACGGCTCCTACCTAGGAGTGTTGTGCCCTGTTTTGGTAGGAATCCATGGAGAGACGTGGCGTGTGTGCGTGCCGTAATCCCAGCCTCCAAAATGACCTGAGTGGAGCCCGGATGGGATCTGGTTTTGCTGTTAACTGCTCCTCCTTGGACGGAAATGGGATCATTTTGCAGTTGGTGCTTTCCCTGCCGTCCTCTGTGGACGCTGCTCTCTGAATGGCTTTCTGGGGGGATCTGACTGGATGAGGTGCAGGGCACCTCGTGGTATTTATCTAAGCACGGGGCTAGCAAAGCTGCAGGAGCAGGATGCAAGAGGCACTCCCAGCCCTGCTGTCAGGTGCCCATATTCTGGATGTGAGGAAAATTGGGATGGACTCAGCCCTGGGCTACCGCTGCTTGTGAGCAGACCGACCTCGATATATCCTCGAAGAGGAATATTGCGCATAGTTTCTGCTGAAAGGCTGATCTTTCAACGTATGAAGGCGAGTTTCCCTGGAAAATAGGAATATTAGCTGCCTGTAGGGCTGGCAGGGCTTCAGAGGCCACTGCTGAATTCCTCTCTGGCTACTGGTAGCCACAAGTGCTCCCATATGGCTGCAAGAGCTGCCGGGCAGATAACCACAGAGCCCCCGGGATTAGGGTTCTGTGTTAGACACCAGAGGTGTGTGGGAGAGAAACTGGCCTGCTAATATGTAAACGTGCATCTGGAAGATAAGATTATCCCAGTGTGCAATCTTCCTGCCTCTTACCAGAATTGGTAGAGCCGCTTATTGTATTAAAAAGATTTTTATTTACAAGGGCCTTGCAAACTCGCAATAAAAATTCCCCTTAGACAGCTGTGTGACAGCAGATGCCTTTTGTCCTCTTTTCATCTGCCTTTGTTCCAAAATACTTTTATTTCTTCCTTTTTTCTCTCTATGGCTTCATGCCTGGGAATTCCTTGGCCTGCTATGAGCTGCTGCTGCAGGTCCCTCGGAGATGACTTTTGCAGCACCTCTTTTCTCATCGCGTTGGACGGGTTGTCCCTCTTCCTGCACGTTACTCTCGGGTTCCACAAACTGCTCTGCTCTGTAGCCTGTTGAGCAAGTTGTTGTGGGCTGGAGTGTGCATGCTGCATCTCTTGCATAAGCAGGTTAAAACAGCGTGCTTCTAGATGCCATTAACACTGCAGGATAAAACATCCGAGCAGGGTGTTAAATAAAAAGCAGTGCCTAACATCAGACCCACTCTTTTCCTTCCCTTGCTTCTCACAGTGAGCTTCTCTGCTGCCCCGGGCTGAGGTGGGCTCTTTTCCAACATTGGGAATGTAATTTTTGGTGTTTCTCTGTGGGTTTGCCTGGTTTAACAGGTTGGGGATACTGATGGAGAGGGGAAGGGGTCTCTTTGACCGGGAATGGCCCGTGCGCTGCGCGATTGCCCGAAATTATATCTGAATCTTCATAGAATTTTGTACTTCTGGAGTTAACTACGGTTTTGCTCTTTCTCTTTGAGGGGTCCCCTGCTATATTTGTTTCTGTGCAAGTTATTCGTCTCTGCTGTTGCTATAGCTGCTGCTTTGCTGTCGGCTCCCCAGCCCAGGTGCCTTTAAGCTGCTCTGAGCCTCTCATTTTCTCAGGGACAAATTGCGAGGCTGGTGATTCTGGTTGGTGACCGGGTGACTCAGGCTGGTCTCTTGGCACCGATGTGGCCTCCTGGTGACCCATACCAGGCCCCAAACCTTGTCTTGTCGGCAAGATCTGCGCAACGGGGTTGCTGGAGATACTGGAGC